ATTATTGCTTGCACAGTGCTCCTTGGGATGTTTAAAGCTTGGGAAATCTTTTTGTATCCAAATCCGGCGTTAAACTTCTCCACAACAGTATCTCGGACCTGCCTGGTGTGTTCCTGGTGTGTTCCTTGTTCTTCATGATGCTCTTTGCGCTTTAAACGGACCTCTGAGACTCTCACAGTGCAGGTGCATTTATACGGAGACTTGATTACACACAGGTGGATTCTATTTATCATCATTAGTCATTTAGGTCAACATTGGATCATTCAGAGATCCTCACTGAACTTCTGGAGCGAGTTTGCTGCACTGAAAGTAAAGGGGCTGAATAATTTTGCACGCCCAATTTTTCAGTTTTTTATTTGTTAAAAAAGTTTGTAATATCCACTTCATGATTGTGTCCCACTTGTTGTTGATTCTTCACAAAAAATTACAGTTTTATATCTTTATGTTTGAAGCCTGAAATGTGGCAAAATGTCGCAAAGTTCAAGGGGGCCGAATACTTTCGCAAGGCACTGTAGATGACTAACAGACTAGTGGCGAAACATCCACAGGTCTTACCATCTCACGCCATAATCTCAGGAGTTCTACTGGAAAAAAGGACAAGCAGATGAGGCACAATCCAACACTAGGGGTCCAATCTTACAACAACTGTATCGCATGATGTGTGGGTAGTGCGTCTGCGTTTCCTAACTTCCCAACATGCAAAACGTAAAGAACAAAAAGATGATGGCTGTGTTCATTGGGTGTTGTTCACATCCATATATGTATTTATAATAAATACCATGAATGTTTTAATACTCATCAAATAGACTGTGATTATAGTCACTGGTTCTTAGAACAGTACTTCAGCACATTTTAATGTGAGCATGCATTGAAGGATTGCATAACAGTTTTACAGAGCAACTGTAACATAGCTTAATCCATAAGTTCTTAAAAAGAAAAACACAATCTTGAGATTGTTGAAGACCCCGAGGCTCAGGCTGCAGAATTAATGATGTGGACATACATGTTTTTGTTTTACAAACCAAAAACATGGGTGCTGACAAATTTGTTAATGTTCTACATTAGCTGACTAAAACATCTGTGTGTACCATTACAGTATGACTTCCGTGACATAAGACACAGTTAAACTCTATAACAGGATAAAAAAGTTAGCCCATAAACAATAAATGTAACTAGTAATGTAGCTTAATACACAGGCATACAAAAAAATCTATTAAAGTGTAGCTTTAAAGATTAATACAATAATCCATCATAACTGTACATGTCAAATGTTTTTACAAATGTCTAAAATACACTAATAAATGATATCCTTACAATGTTAAACATGGGTGCTACTGTTACTGTACACTAAATGTTTATCTGTGAACCTTGTGGCCAGTCAGCAACTGGAATGTTACTCACCCTGGTTTGTTATCCTGAGCCCAGTTATTGCTACTGACAAATGAAGAAACTGCCAGACAAAAATTAAACACCATAAAACCATACATCCACAAAAACACAATAAGCCTCTTGAGCATGTGGCATTTGGCTTGAGTTTCAACACAAGCCTGGTACTATATTTAAGTTTTGCCCTATTAAGAGAGAAGATTTCAGAACAGATATCGTATAACACAGTTCACTGAAGACAGAGGCTCATTATATCTTATGGGTAAGCACTTTAGAATTTCTTCAGCTAATTAACTACAGCAAGTAGATCCTGCTCCCAGGAGAAACAGTGCCTATACTGGCTGTCTACCCACACGTTTAAAAATTGTGCTGACTGTGTGTCATGTTTTGGCAAGAATGTGTGGTACACAAATACACTGCTATCTAGGAGAACATCTTCAAGCTCACACTGCAGACATGAACAAAACTGTTTACAAGTGAATGCACAAAGCAGTGTGGATAAAAACCCTTATGGCAAAGTGGTATGTGAAACAAAGGATGTGGAACTGGGATCCATCACTCAGCTGCTTTACATTAAGGGATTGCATCAGCCCCCCTTGTGTACCCCTTAAGAACAAGAACAGCTGTTGGCACAGTGATGGTAAATTATCCATTGGCAACTCTTTGGTTTCATTAAAGCTCTTTGGGACTTATTTAATTTTTTAATAATTTATGGCGTGTAAAGACTCTGAAACAGTATATCAGTGACTTTTTAAAGCTTCTCCAAAGCAGAGCAAGCAGCTACTGCTGTGCCAGAGAAGATTTGAAAGATGCATTAGTCACACATTTGGACTGTCTCTAACTACTGGCTTAAACTTGAGCAAGATCTTACAACTTCACATATGTATCCTATTTTAATACACATTATCCACAAGCAAAACCAACATAATGCTGGCATGCTACACTACATTTAGCTTGTGTATGTGTGTGTGTGTTTGTATATATGTATAAATCTCAAAATGCTGTTTTCACGTTCACATCATATGACAGTTGTGAAGACAATGCTTGGATAATGCTTAAGAAATCACACAACCTGATTTAATTGAATGTATTTATTTAAAATGATTGAGGGGTCCCTTCTTGCTTTTCTTGACAATGAACAAAAACTTATCAGACATAATAAACATCATGAACACATAAAGGTAATAAACAATACAAACACATACACAAAATACAGACCCAAGGACTCTACAACAATCCACACCACCCATCACAAAATCAGTAATCAAATATAACTGAATGAAAATAACAGAAACTATATTTCACAATAAAAACAAACATTATAACTCAACCAATAAACTAATGCCATGTGCAGTCAAAAGCAAGAACAAATACATGTAAGTTAAACAAACAGTGAAGCCTTAAATACATAAAAAGAAATAACAGATGTGAGTTAAGTAACTTATTCCAATCTGGTGTTTTACATGTAATTTGTTTGGAAGATCACAGGAATATGAATAATACTTGAATAATAATATTTGAATGTGAATAATATTTTCCTAACAAATTCTAAGGGTGTCAGTGATCTGGCATGAAAGAAATCTTAGAAGCTGTGACAACTAGATTTAATAACTACTGCATAAGCATAATGCCAGGCGACATGACCAAATAGAGCAGGATGCATGTGATAGGCTCCCATCACTCTATATAAAAGGCACAGCAAACCTCCACCAGCCACAGGCACCCAGCAAAGGTATGTTTCCTAATGGCTCAGATGTGTTTTGAATCCTTTAGCTTCTCAAATACAAGAAATTACTGCCAGGCATCATTTGGATCAAGTCAATAGTTGTTTAAAACATAAAAGATAACATAAATATGAATACAATACAATTTAATGTTTATTAGCATAATGACAATCTCTTTTACTAATTTTTAAACCAAAGTATGACAGTGTTAACTCAAAAGCTACCTTTGTGAATCTTACTCTATGCTCCTCTTTTCAGAAGTCTGCACCAAAGTCTGACAGAAAAGCCCCTGCTCACCTGGTGTGCTCCAAGGTAAATTAGGCTGCGTATTTGTCCTGGAGAACAATTCAATGTGACATACAGTATAATTACTAGTGTATGTGTAAGCCTACTACACATGTAAAGGTTGTTTTCTATGAACATCACAACTTTTTTGGTACAAATCTAAGTTCTGGCTTGTGAGTAACCACTATACCTGTATCTTAATCATAGACCATTCAGTGGCTACATGAATAATAGCTATTATGGAAATCACTATTGCATCGGTCTATGTATTTGCTAGCATTAAAAAAAATAACTATTATCTTGTTTCCTCATTTACAGTAAAAGGTCATCATGGATGGAGAAATGGAGTGTTATGGTCCGGCGGCCATTTACCTCCGGAAGCCAGAGAGAGAGAGGATTGAAGCTCAAAACACTCCCTTTGATGCTAAAACAGCTTACTTTGTGTCTGAGCCCAAAGAAATGTACCTCAAGGGGAAACTTGTCAAGCGAGAGGGCGGGAAAGCCACCGTGGAGACTCTCTGTGGAAAGGTGAGAATAAAAGCATGTTACTTTTACACTGCTTTACATTTTTATGCCTCAGTCCAGCTGCGGCTGGAGGCATTATGTTTTCAGATTGTCTGTGTTATGGTTGAGTCCGGACTCAACTTGTCTTGGCTGAGGAGACCAAGATGAGCAAGTAAGCAGACAGATGAACTGTTGGAACCAGGAGAGGGAGGACAAAAGGGAGGACTCAAGATGCAGACCCAGGTGCTAGTGAAAAAGGTGCTTTATATTATTAATGTAAAATCTGAATGACTGACATATTTTAACTCTATGACAATGTGATTTAGAAAATGTACTGAAAAATAGCATTAATTCTGCTGTTAAAATGGGTTTGCAGACAGACAACACAAGACTGTTCAATAGTAACCGAGCTTCTCCCTTATTTCTGTTCCTCTTTTTTTTCTTTGAAAGACTCTCACTGTTAAAGAGGATGAAATCTTCCCCATGAACCCTCCGAAGTTTGATAAGATTGAGGACATGGCCATGATGACCCACCTCAGTGAGCCTTCTGTGCTGTTTAACCTCAAAGAGCGCTATGCAGCATGGATGATCTATGTGAGCTTCAACTAATCAACACACAAGTAGATGAAACTTAAGAATACAGGAAGATGTGTGTCAGTAACGCTCTTCTCTGCCTCCACAGACCTACTCTGGGCTGTTCTGCGTCACTGTGAACCCCTACAAGTGGCTCCCAGTGTATGATGCAGTGGTTGTAGCAGGATACAGAGGCAAAAAGAGGGTGGAGGCTCCACCCCACATCTTCTCCATCTCTGATAATGCCTATCAGTTCATGCTCCAAGGTATCAGTCATTTTGTCTCTCACTGTTAAAGAGGATGAAATCTTCCCCATGAACCCTCCGAAGTTTGATAAGATTGAGGACATGGCCATGATGACCCACCTCAGTGAGCCTTCTGTGCTGTTTAACCTCAAAGAGCGCTATGCAGCATGGATGATCTATGTGAGCTTCAACTAATCAACACACAAGTAGATGAAACTTAAGAATACAGGAAGATGTGTGTCAGTAACGCTCTTCTCTGCCTCCACAGACCTACTCTGGGCTGTTCTGCGTCACTGTGAACCCCTACAAGTGGCTCCCAGTGTATGATGCAGTGGTTGTAGCAGGATACAGAGGCAAAAAGAGGGTGGAGGCTCCACCCCACATCTTCTCCATCTCTGATAATAGCTATCAGTTCATGCTCCAAGGTATAAGTCATTTTGTAAGATACTATATGTCAATAAATACAGCCATTGCACTTCAGGAGAACTAACATACTAAATGTTCTGTGCCATTTTGCTATCTTACAGACAGAGAAAACCAGTCAATCCTGATTACGTAAGTGCCAATAACTTTACAGTCTATTATTTATGAGTACTGACAGCAGTCATTTTAAATAATGTTTATGAACACACCCTTAAACCCAGCGGAGAATCTGGTGCGGGAAAGACTGTCAACACCAAACGTGTCATCCAGTACTTTGCGACAATCGCAGTGGCTGGAGCAAAGAAAGCTGAGCCAGCTGCTGGAAAACTGAAGGCAAGAGAAGTTCAACAATATTAACATGAAATCTAAAACTGAAAAAAACTGGATACTGTCAGACTGACAAAATGAATGCTTTCATTAGGGGTCACTGGAAGACCAAATCATTGCAGCCAACCCACTGTTGGAAGCTTATGGTAATGCCAAGACTGTGAGGAATGACAACTCTTCACGTTTTGTAAGTTGTTTAGTGATTTCTCATTGATTTTAAATTCATTATGGTGCAACAATAACCATTCATGATATGAGAGTGTTCATCTGTTTCTTCATAGGGAAAATTTATCAGGATTCAATTTGGGTCAACTGGAAAGCTGGCTTCAGCTGATATTGAAACATGTAAGATTTTTCTGTGAAACTCATTGTGCATTGTAATGTCATCTATATTGTTCCCTCCTTCAGCTGAGATTTTCCTGAATTCTGAACAAATTTTAACTCATACAGATCTGCTGGAGAAGTCTCGAGTGACATTCCAGCTGTCCGCTGAGAGGAGCTTCCACATCTTCTATCAGCTCACAACAGGCCACAAACCTGAGCTGATAGGTGTGAGATTATAGAATAATAGAACAGTTATTCTAAATTAAATGAACAACAATGGATTATGTGTTATTTTCCCTTTCCTTAGAGGCTCTGCTGATCACCACCAACCCTTACGACTATCCCATGATTAGTCATGGTGAAATCACTGTCAAGAGTATCGATGACGTTGAAGAATTCATTGCTACTGATGTAAGAATATCTGAGGATGACATTTGCTGCAATATAAAAAAAAAAACTGTTATTTTAAAAGTTAACATTTGTCTATTTTCTTTACATTCACTATGCTATTGATTTTTTATCATTTTTATAAGAGTGGTTGATTAACTTCTATGGTAATTTTTTAGGCTGTTGTTAATGGCAGTGTTGTATTGAATTGCATTATATAAAGAGGTTTTTCTAATGTCCTTAACATTTACATTAAAATTAAGGGGGAAAATATTAAAAAGCCACCTCAAGATACATTTTCAAATCGAGTGGCATCTTTTCTGCTGAACGGGATTACATATACATAATGAATTCCAAAATCTCTTAGTAAGCAGTGCACAGATGTTAGTAGGACAATTTGAATTATCCAAAAGATTGTTGTTTATTCATTTAAAGCAATGAAAGCTGTATTGCTAGTGTGACAGCTATTAAACACATGTGGGGGCAGAGGATATAGCAAAGATGGTTTATGTTCAAGAACATAAGCTTGTGTTTTAACACTTTTCCTTATATCACAGACTGCCATTGACATCCTGGGCTTCACTGCAGAAGAGAAGTCAAGCATGTACAAGCTGACTGGAGCTGTGATGCATCATGGAAACATGAAGTTCAAGCAGAAGCAGCGTGAAGAGCAGGCTGAGCCTGACGGCAGTGAGGGTATGAAACCCACACACACTGAGCTTTAAAATATTAGTATAGGTTTCACCACCTGTGAAGACTTGTGATTTAAAGAAGCATTAATGACTTTATCCTAGTATTGAAAGTCACTTTCGGCTTTTCCCGTTTGGGGGTCGCCACAGCAAATCTGACGACTCGCATGTTGACATTTGGGACGTGTTTTACGCCGGATGCCTTTCCTGACGCAACCCTGATTCAAAACCAGGGCGCAGCGGCGAGATGGCTGCGCCTTAACCACTAGCCTACTAGTATTAATGGTTTAAAAGATGTCTGTGTTCCTTTTCAGTGGCAGATAAAATTGCCTACCTCATGGGTCTGAACTCTGCTGATCTGCTCAAAGCACTATGCTACCCCAGAGTGAAGGTTGGAAATGAGTATGTGACCAAAGGTCAAACTGTCCCTCAGGTATATGAGACAAGAACACAAAAAACAAAGTGATACACACAAACGACTGTTTCAAGACACTCGGACATACTGATACAAGCTTTTTTTACTTATGACTCACAATTGCTCATATAATTCTTAGTTCATAGATCTGCTGTTCCTTTGTTTTACCCTCTAGACTTAGTATAGTTGTTAAATTTTACCACATCCTTGTTAATGCTGTACCATTCATTTATAAAACCAGGTCCACAATAATGTCATGGCTCTCTGCAAGTCCGTCTATGAGAAAATGTTCTTGTGGATGGTCGTCAGAATCAATGAGATGCTGGATACCAAGCAGTCCAGAAGTTTTTTCATTGGTGTCCTGGATATTGCTGGGTTTGAAATTTTTGATGTAAGTATGCTTGGTTGATACTACATCATCATCTGCAGCTTCATTTAAATCATTCTGCACCAAGTTTCTTGTCAGAATCAGGGTGCATGGTATATCAGTGTGAAGAGTTAAAATGCTTTTTTTTTTTTGTTAGTGCTACCTAGAGCCCTTTCTGACCATTTATATTTAAATTTTTTTAGTTCAACACCTTGGAGCAGCTTTGCATCAACTTCACCAATGAAAAACTGCAACAGTTTTTCAACCACCATATGTTTGTCCTGGAGCAAGAAGAGTACAAGAAAGAGGGAATTGAATGGGAGTTCATTGACTTTGGTATGGACTTGGCTGCCTGCATTGAGCTTATTGAGAAGGTGAGCCACATGCTGCATATTCACAAATACAGAGAACTGTCTGATGACTTCAAAGATTGTAAACAATCATTTCATCACAACAGCCAATGGGCATCTTCTCCATCCTTGAAGAGGAGTGCATTGTCCCCAAGGCAACAGACATGACCTTCAAGAACAAACTCTATGATCAGCATCTTGGTAAAAGTGCACCCTTCCAGAAACCGAGAATTGGCAAAGGTAAAGCTGAGGCCCATTTCTCCCTGACGCACTATGCTGGCACAGTGGACTACAATGTCGTTGGTTGGCTAGACAAGAACAAAGACCCCCTGAACGACTCAGTGGTTCAGCTTTATCAGAAGTCTTCAGTCAAACTGCTAGCTCACCTCTATGCAGCACATGCCGGAGACGGTAAGGATCATATTTTGGAAAAAAAAAGTGAAGGTAATGATAACAATCTGATGCTCCTTGGTATTGGTTCTAGAAGTCTCCGAACTCAGATGGAAGGAGGAACACCATTATTCCAAACAATATTCACTCATTTAGTGTTTTGAAAATGTGACTGCCATAGCATATGATTCACATCATTTTCATACTGATAAAAACTATTTAGTGACCCCTTGTACCCTATAGATAAGGTCATTGTCATCCTGGAAGAGGCCACTCAATTATTCAGGTTTTACCTAAGTGTTTATGAATTTGTACACTTTTACTTTGAGGCTGGTGTATAAATAGCTTTATATATATAGACTGACAATTTAATACAAAAACAGGTGCTGTACTATGTGTCTTTATAGAAAAAGTAACAATTGTTTATAAATAAGGAGGTGTAAAGCAGAAGAAGTGTTACTGAGGTGTTTTTAGTGTTTTAATTACATTTCACAAAACATTGATTCCTATGTGGCTGGAGAAAGAATACAGTATTAATAAAAATGTAATGAATTTAAGTAAATTATTAAATATTAATCTTCATGTTACAGCTGAGGCTGGAGGCAAAAAAGGTGGCAAGAAAAAGGGTGGGTCTTTCCAGACAGTATCTGCCATGTTCAGGGTAAGTATCACAAACAACTGCCTCCCTACAATACAATATGCACACTACTGTATTGCCAAACGGTACCTAAAGGTAATATCCAGGGAAGTAGACTTAGTCAATTTTTATTTTGTAATGATTAGACTTTTTCCATGTTGCAGGAGAATTTAGGCAAGCTGATGACCAACTTGAGGAGCACTCATCCTCATTTTGTACGTTGCTTGATTCCAAATGAGTCAAAGACTCCAGGTAAATCTAATAATTGTATCTGTGTAAGCATTTACAAAGAATACTGTAGTCAGGAAATATAAAACTAAATTTTGCATGTTTTTAAGGCCTTATGGAGAACTTCCTGGTGATCCATCAGCTGAGGTGTAATGGTGTGCTGGAAGGTATCAGGATCTGCAGGAAAGGTTTCCCCAGCAGAATCCTCTATGGTGACTTCAAGCAGAGGTAATTCTTAAGAGGAACCATATTCTGACAATATTAAGATCAATTACTCATCATCTATTAATGGCCCTCCCAACAGGTACAAAGTACTGAATGCCAGCGTCATCCCTGAGGGGCAATTCATGGACAACAAAAAGGCCTCAGAGAAACTCTTGACCTCTATTGATGTTGATCATACGCAGTACAAATTTGGACACACAAAGGTAATCTGTCCATCTGAGTGTTTCTATTAATGGTTTACCCTGATACTACAAGTGATTTAAAGAAGCATTCAAATTCATGCAACACTTTTCTTTTAGGTGTTCTTCAAAGCTGGTTTGCTGGGACTCTTGGAGGAGATGCGAGATGACAAGCTTGCTATCTTGGTCACAATGACTCAGGCTCTCTGCAGAGGTTACGTCATGAGGAAGGAGTTTGTCAAGATGATGGCAAGGAGGTACTGTACACATTTAGCTTCATAATATAAAGGACAACTGTGCAATTATAGATAGTCATTTGGCTTAATTTTTCAGGTCGTACATCTTTGAAAACTTAATCTACACTGTGTTTCGGCTCTTTTATCTATTATTTCCAGGGAAGCCATTTACTCCATCCAGTACAATATTCGTTCATTCATGAATGTCAAAACCTGGCCATGGATGAAGCTGTACTTCAAGGTTAAGCCTCTTCTGAAGAGTGCAGAAGCTGAGAAAGAGATGGCTCAAATGAAAGAGGACTTTGAAAAGACCAAAGAGGAGCTAGCAAAGGCTCTGGCTAAGAAGAAAGAACTGGAGGAGAAGATGGTCTCTCTCCTGCAGGAGAAAAATGACCTGCAGCTGCAAATTCAGTCTGTATGTTAAGTATAATGAAGGAATGTGTATTTGACTAATTCAAGTTTTTACAGGTACCTCAGGAATATTTTCATTTTATGTCAATGTAAATCTAGGAAGGTGACAACCTTGCTGATGCCGAGGAAAGGTGTGATGGGCTCATTAAAGCAAAAATCCAGCTTGAGGCCAAAGTCAAAGAGACTTCTGAGAGACTGGAGGATGAGGAGGAAATCAATGCTGAGCTGACTGCGAAGAAGAGGAAGCTGGAGGATGAGTGCTCTGAGTTGAAGAAAGACATTGACGACTTGGAGCTCACCCTGGCCAAAGTGGAAAAGGAGAAACATGCCACTGAGAACAAGGTTCGTAGATGTTTCATAAGGCCTTAAAGTACATCCTTTGCAGAACACTAAAAACCTGGAAAACTGTTTTCCCAATACTACAAATACAGGTTAAAAACCTGGTGGAAGAAATGGCTTCTCTTGATGAGACTGTTGCCAAGTTGACCAAAGAGAAGAAAGCCCTCCAAGAGGCCCATCAGCAGACCCTTGATGATCTTCAGGCAGAGGAAGACAAAGTCAACACTCTGACAAAGTCCAAAAGCAAACTAGAGCAGCAAGTAGACGATGTGAGTGAAATAGGACACTTTGATATTAGTACACCTAAAAAATAAAAACAAAAATAATCATAATGATAATATTAATGCCTCATTTGGGTTAAAACAGCTTGAAGGCTCGCTGGAGCAAGAGAAGAAACTTCGTATGGATCTTGAACGAGCTAAAAGAAAGCTTGAAGGGGATCTGAAACTCGCCCAGGAAACCATCATGGATCTGGAGAATGACAAGCAGCAGTCTGACGAGAAAATAAAGAAGTGAGTGACATTTACCTCAAGGCCTGTATTCAAATGTGACCTAACTGTATTCATCCAGATATTCTCAAACTTTGATGGCTTTTATAATCTATTAACAATTTTGTGACAGGAAGTTTTTTTTAAAATAAAGGACAATCTCATCCTAGTATTTTGCTTATTTCAAGACAAAAAGAAACACACATAATGTATAATGTTTATGAATTATTTTCCTGCATAGGAAGGACTTTGAAATAAGCCAGCTTCTTGGCAAGATTGAGGATGAGCAATCACTCTCTGCTCAGCTTCAGAAGAAGATCAAAGAACTTCAAGTTAGTTCAGTTAATGGTTTGAATGACCCAACTGTTCTTGGCTTATAAACAAAATATCAGAAAGTATCTATGTTGTTTATCTGTTGTTTATGAACTCTTAAACATTAGGCTCGTATTGAGGAGCTGGAGGAGGAGATTGAGGCTGAGCGGGCTGCTCGGGCCAAGGTGGAGAAGCAGAGGGCTGATCTCTCCAGAGAACTTGAGGAGATCAGTGAGAGGCTTGAAGAGGCTGGTGGAGCAACTTCAGCTCAGATTGAGATGAACAAAAAGCGTGAGGCCGAGTTTCAGAAGCTGCGTCGTGATCTCGAAGAGTCCACCCTGCAGCATGAGGCCACCGCTGCAGCTCTACGCAAGAAGCAGGCTGACAGCGTGGCTGAGCTGGGAGAACAGATTGATAACCTCCAACGTGTCAAACAGAAGCTGGAGAAGGAGAAGAGTGAATACAAGATGGAGATCGATGACCTCACGAGCAATATGGAGTCTGTTGCAAAAGCAAAGGTCAAGAAAAAGATGTAATGTGCAACTGTGTAAACAAAGAAAATAGTCTTATTTTAGTCAGCTCTTAATGAATCTGGCTTCCTTGGATACCTTTAAGTCAATATAACATTTCTTATTTTAAGGGCAATCTGGAGAAAATCTGTCGAACTCTTGAGGATCAACTGAGTGAGATCAAGGCCAAAAATGACGAAAATGTGCGACAGCTGAATGATATTGGGCTACAAAGGGCAAGACTACAAACAGAGAATGGTGAGAAAAATATATTTTATACATTTTTTACATATACTATTCATTTTGATTTTCAACAAAATGTCCATTTTATATTTGGATAAGTTCTAAGGGGCCAGACACGTAGCTTGTGTAAAAACGCACAGAGAACGCCAGCCATGCCACTTTCTCCTTTTTTTCCAAAGTGCTCTAAGCAACCATGAGCTGCATGACGACGAGGAAGTTGCAGGATATAAATGACTGAAAATCCTTAGCAGTATCTCTGCTGCTACATTTACTGTGGACAAGAAAGTTAAAAACAATGTGCTTTGGCCCATCCCATCCTTCAAGCAACAAAAAAACACTGAATTTCACCTACTGATCCAGGAGCTCCACCCCCAATCTTAACTGAGATTTGAGCCAGATGTTACGTAAAAGGTGAAGCTGATTGGTTGGTTTTTCTAACATGACCTGCAGTGCGGTTGCTGCATTCTGAAAAGTTGTTGATTTTTAAAAATCCCGCTGCAGTAAAGACCTGCACTGGGAAAAAGGGCACGCCGAAACATATGAGTGCAACAACAGCATTGCTCTATATAGTGAGCGCGCTTGTTGCGAGTCTCCATTTTAAAAAATGAATTTGAGTGCACGAAAGATGCAATATGTGAACGGCCCCTAACTCTGTCTCACTTTAGGTGAAATCAGTCGCCAGCTGGAAGAGAAAGAAGCTCTTATCTCTCAGCTGACAAGGAGCAAACAGGCTTTTACGCAGCAGATTGAAGAGCTCAAGAGACATGTTGAAGAGGAACTTAAAGTATGTGTACAATACAAATGCTATCATAGGTCATTCAAATTTTGAAGGTTTGCACATTTTAATTGATAAAAATACTTCTTTTTGTAAGGCCAAGAATGCCCTGGCTCAT